AGATAGGGCACTCCCCACCACTGGGCATGAATCGGTGGCTCAGCGGGCACATGGCGCAGGCCCTACATTGGCTCAAGAGCACTACACTGTCTCAATGGACACATGGCACAGGCGCTACAGTGTCTCAGTGGACACATGGCACAGGCGCTACAGTGTCTCAGTGGACACATGGCACAGGCGCTACAGTGTCTCAGTGGACACATGGCACAGGCGCTACATTGGCTCTGAGAATGTGATTTGAAATTGGGGGAAAAAATAAAGCATTTCTAGCCCGAATATGTTAATAAAACGTGACTTTTTTTTGTAATAATGAGCATTGTTTAGCCGAGGGCTCCCCCTGGTACTCACTGCAACTAGGATAATACGGTACAACATATTTTTATAGTGACTCCTCTTACTCTGCTCTAGCGCTATCACCATATGTATATATGAATATTTTTTTTTTTTTTAATGTTTAGCACTGTATATATTGTGTGATCACTCAGCAACATTTAGTTGGATTTTTTTTGTTTATTCTACTGCGGTTACTGCCACCTCCTGGCCACACCATAACCAATTTTACTGACTGCTACAATAAAAGTTACGTTTTATTAACATATTTGGGCTACAAACTTTTTTTTTCTAAGTTACTTACTCCTGGGTTTCTGCCCACAGACTCCTTATGGACTCTCCCACCCCTTCCTTTTTGTGATTTGAAATTGGCACACTGTGCACACCACTGGCTCAGTATTTACCAAGAATTTGTGAACATGCACAAAAATCTGTATTCACTAATTTTCACTTTCAAGTCACACGGAGTCCAACGGTTGGCTGGGGTAGCCCAGTCATTTCCTGTTTAATGTTAGCCAGGGGAAGAACTGAAGAAAGGTTGTGACATCAAAAGTGACCTTTGATCTTAACTGGAGTCATATGATGAGAGCAAAGGTCAAATATAATAAAACAAAACCGTAAGTGGCTACATACTGTGACTAGTAATATAAGAAAATTATTATTTCATGTTTAAAATCGGGTCATAATATAATCCTGTCCTAATGTGTTTTACACCCCACCTCCTATAGAATGTAAGCTCGTTTGAGCAGGGTCCTCTTCAACCTATTGTTCCTGTAAGTTGATTTGTAATTGTCCTATTTATAGTTAAATCCCCCTCTCATAATATTGTAAAGCGCTACGGAATCTGTTGGCGCTATATAAATGGCAATAATATTAATTATAATCTATAAAAATTGCAAATAAGGCAATGGTCCAGTAGTACTAGATAGAGCCTCTATAGGGGGTAACTTGATGTAAAAACTAGGCTTCGATAGTCGTTAAAAAAAAAACTACTATGTTAGCTGAACTTCTGGGGAAGCATAAAGTGTCACGGCCCCATTTTGGAATCTGGCGCCGGATAGGGATGCATCAAAAATAGGTGCAGGGAATTTCTAAATGCCTAGTACAGTGTATAGTACTAGAGGGGTGCCCATTATTAACCCCTTAAGGACGGCGGGCGTTCTATGCCGTCCTTAAGGGGATGGCCCTAAACGCCGGCAGGCGGCATAGAATGTCCTAGCCGTTCTTGCCGCCCACGTGGCCGGCGCCATTACCCCGCTGCAGATCGCGGTTGGGGGGCATGCCCCCCAGGCAGCCCCCGTGTCCGGGGCCGCTGTCTGTGTCAGCAGATTTGAAATCGGCTGACACATGGAGACGGTGCCATTCTCCTGCAGCAGATCGCGTTCGGGGGACATGCCTGGCCCCCCCAGGCAGTCCCCCTGCGGTCAGTGACCGCGATCTGCACTCTCAGGCTGCAGTCTGATCACACTGACAGGCTATTGGCTGACAATGTATCTGCAGCCATTATCCCCCTACAGATCACGGTGGGCGGCATGCCTGTACCACCCAGGCACTCCCCCTGTGGCCAATTACCGCGATCTGTAGGAGGTGATCACAGTGACAGCCAGTCAGTGTGATCACTGTTAGTATGTGTCAGCCAATAATCTCAAATCACTGGCTGACACATTGTCTCTGCTCCTCTCCTCATCTCACTTCGATCTGAGAGAGAGAGAAGCAGAGAGATGGTTGTTGAGCTGATCCTGTGAAGAAAAAGTTTTAATACTTTATAAAAGTTTTTAAAAAATTATTTTATCTAACCCTTTCAGTGCTGATCACAGCATATTACTGTCATCAGCCTGATTAGGGCATTTAAATTATTTCAATTTTTTTTTTTTTACCCTTTGTGTCAGTCGCAGCAACCCAAATCTCCCTTAACCCTTTTCCCGCTGCCGTGATCACTATACTGTATAGTATATCTGCTGTACAGTACTGTATCAGTGATCAGAGGGCTCTCTGATCAGACTGACCTTTTTAGGGTTATTTTTACATATCAAAAAATAACCCTTTCAGTGTACTGATTGCAGCTGCCTATACTGTGATAAGTACATTCAGGGCCAGATTAAGAGCCCAGTGGGCCTGGTGCTGACAGTTATGACGGGCCTAATTACAGAATCATATCGACCAAAAACAGTCATACCTCCCAAGCATCATGTATCTCATGGAGATGGTGCTGGAGAGAAAGAAAACAGCAGCTATAAGAAAACACATACCCTAGGCTAATCTCTCTCTAATTTATGTTTTCATCTTTCAAGTAAATCCATAACCTCTAACAGCAGTGTCCAGTCAAGCAGGAAGTCAATGGGCACGGTAAAAGGGTGTGCCACTGACACAAATCAGGTAACCTGCCAAAAGGGGCGAACATGCCCAAAAAGAGGACATGTCTGCCCAAAGAATTAGAAGGCCAGCCTGGTGTGAATGCATGTCAGGCTGCCTGCCAATCATGCAGCTGGCCAACTAAGGGCATACTATGCAGACAGCACCCTGAGCTTGGCATAAATGCATCTAATGATGCGCTCACTCAACGCTTTCTAAGGACTGTCCCCTAGCACTCGCTGGTCCACTTGTCTCCTTACCTTCTTACTAGCAGGCAGAAGCTTCTGGTATATAGTCTGGGACAGAGAAAAGCTGTATGTAGTGAGTGTAGAAGAAAGGGAACATGCCACAGTGTTAGAGAGACCAAAATCAGCATTACCTTAAAGGATCACTATAGGGTCAGGAACACAAACATGAATTCATGACCCTATAGTGTTAACACCACCATCTAGCCCCCCTGGGCCCCTCATGCCTCCATAAATATAGCAAAATCCTACTATATTCAAGCCTGAAGCTGTAACTCTGCATGCTGTTAAACTCATAAAAACAAGCAGTCTGCTGACATCATTAGAAGTGGTGGCCTGATCCAATCACAGTGCTTCCCCATAGGATTGGCTGAGACTGACAAGGAGGCAGATCAGGGGCAGAGCCAGCACAAGTCAAACACAACCCTGGCCAATCAGCATCTCCTCATAGAGATGAATTGAATCAATGAATCTCTATGAGGAAAGTTCAGTGTCTGCATGCAGAGGGAGGAGACACTGAATGTTTGGATGCATTTTAGGCAACCATGACCCAGGAAGGATCTCTAACGGCCATCTAAGGAGTGGCCAGTGAAGTTATCACTAGGATGTAATGTAAACACAGCATTTTCTCTGAAAAGACCATGCTTACAGCAAAAAGCCTGGTGGTAATGATTCTACTCACCAGAGCAAATTCAATAAGCTGTTGTTGTTCTGGTGACTATAGTGTCCCTTTTAACTATATTCATTGTCAGCCAGTCCACACAAGTTCTGTTCCCATAGATCCCTCTTAAGTTTCCATTAAGAGTATGTGAAAAGTAGTTAGGGTTGCCACCTTTCTTGGAAAAACATACCATCCTTACTAATTTGCATAATTAAATATGTATGGGTGACATCACATGATGTAAATCACAAGGAGTGACATAAGAGAAAATGGTGTAAAATCACCAAAAAAACTACTTAGTTTAAATCTGCTGTATAGATGGATTCCTCCCAGTGCCCCCATGTCTCCCAGTGCCCTCATGACTCAGTGTCCCCATGTGTCGATTACTCCAGGTCTCAATGTTCCTATGTATCAGTGTCTCAGTGCCCCATTGAGACATTGGGACATTGAGACATGGCGGCACTGGGAAACATGGGGACACTGAGACACCAGGGCCACTAGCTTGGGGACATTGTGACACTTGAGGCACTAAGAGACATGGAGGCACTAGGATACATGGGGACAGTGAGACACTGGCAGACTGGAGGCACTGGGAGACTAGGGGTCACTGGGAGACTAGGGGGCACTGAGACACCATGGGGACACTGTGTGTCCATGTGTCTGTGTCATAATGTCTCCCAATGTCCCTTAGTGTCTCAGTGTCTGCCATAATGTCTCCCAGTGTCCCTTAGTGTCTCGGTGTCCCCATGTCTCCTTGCAGCCTTTCCCCCCCATCCCTTACTTCCCTGAGCTGTAGGCTGTCTCTGCAGGGTGGGAATTGCTGTCTGGACTCTGTAGCTGCACCCCTGCAGATCAGTGAGTATAGATAGGCAGGGAGGGATTTGCTGGAACTTCCTATACCTGCCTGTCTCCACACACACAGCGACCCCTACTGGCCAGTGCTGGTATTGCAGAGTAATCTCTTGTTTGTACTGAGAAAAATACCAGCATTTGTATTGCCAGTATCACTGCAATATTGGCACCAGCCAGGCAGCCTCAAATACTGGCTGTGCCAATAAAATAAAAGCCAGGTGGAATCCCTAAGAGTAGTGTGTGAAAAAAGAAGCTCCACCAGCCCCTATGTTAATCCGGCCCTGAGTACATTTATATTATTTTTGAGGGCGGGTAGTAGGTGTTAGGCAGGTAGATTATAATTACCCCTTATTATATAAATTAATTAATTTGTCCCCTTGAATGGCATGTTGCTACTCAGCCGATGAGGCATATGCCATTCTGGCAGGCAGTGATAGTGACACTCTGCAAGACAGTGACACTATCACTGCCTCTGACATTGAGCCTCTGAGTGAGACCTCAACCACCACTCACAAGAGGACGCTCAGAATGCCCAATGCAAGGCAGAGACTGGGTGCCTCCAAACATGATGGCCCCAGAAATACGGCCGTTCACTGTTACACCTGGCATCACTGTAACAGTGGACGACTGCGAGCCAATTCGTTTTTTTGAGCTATTTATGTCGGACGATGTATTTGAGCTCATGGCTCAGCAAACTAATTTGTTTGCCATGCAGTATCTCTCTGCACATCCGGGGTCCCATTATAGTCGTACGAATATGTGGAGACTCACGGATGTTGCAGAGATGAAGTGGTTTTGGGCTTTAACCCTAATGATGGGTGTGGCAAACCTAGCCACTTGGACATTATTTAAGTACTGTCACTTTAAGGGTTGCCTGTATGATTTTCGTGAAATGTGTGTTCCAGAGTATAATGTAATGTGATTGTGTAACACTGTATTGCCTGCATTGGCTATCTGCCGAAAGCAGCTGATTTCCTTTCGTTTCACGAACGGCACCTTTGCGGGCCATTCGTGAACCGAATGAACTATCATTTAATAGCCCACACACTAAGAGACGTGTGGCACTTGTTAACCGAACATTGTTGCAATCGGTAATTAGAGGCTCTCCAAGGTGGCCGTCGTTCGACTACCGACCACGCGGCGGTCGGCCATCTTGGATCCTTTGTTCCCTCAGCGGTGTTTGGTCGTCGAGCGCATGGTACTAAAAACGGCTACTCAACGGCGCGAACACCGCTGAGCTTCCAGTCCGTTCGGGAGTTCCGGGCCGTTCGGTATTATGTTCCCTAGCATGCAATCGGTCTTTTGAACATGTGTTTTAATGAATGTGTTTTTCATGCGGCGTTCGGTTGTTTTAGCTGGGATCTGAGCGGTAATCTTACAAATGATGCGCTCAGACCCCAGCTATCTACCGAACGTCCATTCGTGCAAATAGACCATATATTAAAACAGTTATGCATTTTAATATAAATTGTCGGTTCTGCTGCACAGAGGGATAATCCACTTAACGGTACATTCCTCTGGGAGGATCCCTCTCGTGCAGCAGTGCCTGATGGGAGAAATGTCTTGGACAGTAAGTCCCCCATGTAGTAAATGTCTTGGACAGTAAGTCCCCCATGCCCCTGGGAGGGGACTCAGGAAACCCCTTGCATGGGGACTTGTATAAATTGTGGAGCTAAAAATAAAGACCTCAGTTGACTCTCAGAACTGTGTTTCGTCCGGTTACTGGGAGGTTTGGGACATTGCCTTGCTTTTTCCAGCGCTTGACTGTGGATTACTTCCTGAACCAGCGGAATTCGGGGATTTAATATTGGCGTTGCGCTACAATGGGTATAGTTAAAAAGCCCAGTATCAGGTCCTACTGGAGCAAGCAACACCTCTTTTCCCTGAGCTTATGCAGAGGGATCGCTACCTGCAACTGCTGCGATTCCTTCATTTTAATGACAACTCACTGTGTCCCTCTAGAAAGACCCACTGTTTGACATGCTCTATAAAATTCGGCCCTTTATCCAGCTCCTGTCAGACAAATTGTATGAAAATTATGTCCCCGATAAAGATATTTCAATTGACGAGTCCCTTATGAAATTTAAAGGTTGACTGCTATTTAAGCAATATGTTCCATCTAAGCGGTCCCGATATGGCGTTAAATTTTATAAATTATGCAAATCCTGTACTGGTTACACATGGGCGTTTCGACTTTACTAGGGGAAGGATAGCCATCTTGACCAACCAGGATTCCCTGATTCTGTGGGTACAAGTGGCAAGATTGTTTGGGATCTAATCCTTCCCTTGTCAAATAAGGGATATAGGCTATGGGTTGACAATTATTATACCCGTATACAATTATTTAAAATTTATATTATTTTGAAACCCTAGCCTGTGGCACAGTGACGAAGAATCGCAGGGGTTTCCCCCAAGCCCTGGCAAGAGGCTAAAGCAGTAGAGGTTCCTCTTCAGCTCTCCGCCAGGATGAGTTTCTTGTCCTTCGCTTCACAGATAGGAAGGATGTATACATGCTGTCTACGATGCACGATGAAAGTACAGTGGCCGTGTCTGTGAGAAGTAGCACTGAGCATCTGGAAAAGCCGAAGTGCATTGTAGACTACAACAGGTTTATGGGGGGAGTAGACTTGGCTGACCAATGCATACAGCCCCATCTGGTGAACGGAAAAACTAGGATCTGGTACAAGAAAACTGCAATCTACGTGAGCCAGATTGCAATTTTCAATGCCCATGTCCTCTATACAAAAGAGGTCATAGACAATCCCTGCCCTTTCCTAGAATTCATGATAAGCCTTTTATCCTGTATGTTATTTACCCAGCCCCCCAATCCCACTTTGGAATCAGGAGATCTCCAAAGACTTTGTGGCAAACACTTCCCTTCCCGAATCCCACCCACCGCCAGTAAAAAAGCTCCCCAAAGAAAGTGCCGTGTTTGCTGCAAGAAAGGAGTCCGAAAGGTATTATTGCCCAACCTGCCCATCTCTACCCGCCCTCTGCATAACAGACTGTTTCAAAGTCTACCATACACAGCTGAACTTCTGAATCACTCTGCATGGGACTTTGGCAGTTTGCTTGATTTCCCTGGATTACCTGACCTCGGCTTGTCCTGACTATGCTTTGTGAGCTGCTTGTACCGACCCATTGGCTTGTTTTAACGACTACTCTGACTTCTGGATTCCCTGACCTAGGCCTGTCCCTGTTTACGCTAGCCATTCTAAAGTGGCTACACCAAACAACTCAAAATATACTACATTTGTAGTACTTGAAATGTGACTTCCCAATAAAAAAACTAATCACAGGGACAATGCTGCGATTAGCACGGAAAGGGTTAATAAAGTTTTTTTTGTTTTGTTTTGTTTTAACTTCTCAAACTTTTTACACAGTAACTCTCTATGTGAGATCAAACATCTCTCTGCCTCTCTCTGCCTTCAGATCAAAGTGTATGTGGGGGTACTGTTCTATTCCTGTGATATAATAAAAACCTGGAAACATTGTACATGTGGGTACTGTACTGAAATTGAGACAGTGTTAAATCAAAATACCAAGTCTCTATTGCACTAACTAATATCAGGATTATGACATTTCCAGTGAAAATGCAATTTATCTGATTAAAAAGACAAAAATAAAAGTAGAAATCACTACATGGGCCCAGCATTTCTGTTAAAAGGGCTAGACCAAATATCTCAAATTATGCCATTTGTTATACTCTGGGTTGCCTGCGTTTGAAAATGGTATGCCATAATAGTGGAAATGTTATTACCCAGGCTGACATGCTCTCTGAAAAGCCACATAGGCCCAGAAAATCACTTTGCCAAATTACCAACTTTGAAATGGATATCTAAAATTTTTGTCCCCGTGACTTCCCCCACAAAAAAAAAAAATCTGGTACATGGGGGTACTGTTCTATTCAGGAGACAATGTTAAATAAAAATAGTGAGGCTTTGTTGCAATAACTCCTATCAGGAATATAAAATGTCCTGCGAAAACTGAGAACGTGTGTGAAAAGCACGGAAAAAACTATAACCGCTATGTGGGCCCTTCATTTCTTATAAAGTGGTTAGACTAAACCTCTCAAATTATGCCATTTGTTATACTCTGGGTTGCCTACTTTTGAAAATGGTATGCCATAATAGTGGCAGCCTGCTAAATATTATTACCCAGGTTGCCATGCTCTCTCAAAGGCAAGATAGGCCCAGAAAATCACTCTGCCAAATTTCAGTGTAAAAAAGCATAAATGGACAAAAGCCGTATATATGACCCTGTAACTTGCCAAAACCCTATAAAATCTATACATGGGGGGTACCGTGGCGCTTGTGAGACATCACTGAACAGAAATTGGAGTGTTTCAGGGCAGTAAACTATATACTAACAATAATATCAGTGAAAGTACAGTTTGTATGTGAAAAATGCAACAACAACAAAACAAAGCTAACTTTGGCTAGGGTTTGTGCCCAAGGGGCTACTACAAAAGACTGGGCATACCCCATTTTGAATACCCTGGGATGTTTACTTTTTCAAATGGTATGCCATGATGGGGGTAATTTTCATTCCTGGGCTGCCATACGGTCTCAAAGGCTACCTAGGCCCAGCAAACTAATCTGTCAAATTTTTACGTAGAAAAAAATTATAATGGACAAGCTGTATATTTGAACCTGTAACTTTCCAAAACCCCATAAAACATACACATGGGGGTACTGTTTTACTCGTGAGACATTACTGAATACAAATATGTATGTTTTATTGCAGGAAAACCGTAACAGTATTCTGACATTAACAGTTAAATTGCCATGCTGAAATTGAAAAATAACAATTTCTTAATTTTTTTTAAAGGTTTTTAGATTTTATTTATAAAATGGAGTTCCATATATGAATGTTTGATATGAAATGAAAGCGCTGTTTCCCCTGAACAAAATGATATATAATAAGTATGGGTGCACTTAGTATGAAAGAGGTAAATTATTGTTAAACAGACATACAGTCAAATTCTGTGGTTTGTTTACATTTTGTTTTGATTACAACTTGTACATTTGGCTCA